CAGTAGCAGTGGGGCGGTGCCGTGCTCACCAGACAGGACAGGTCGGGCGGTCCGGTGGCAGGGTGGCTCGGCGGCTCCTTGGCGGCTTGGCGGCTCCTAGGCGGCTCGGCGGCTCCTGGGCGGCTCGGCGGCTCATGGGCGGCTCGGCTGCTGCTAGGCGGCTCGGCTGCTGCTGGGCGGCTCGGCTGCTGCTGGGCGGCTCGGCTGCTGCTGGGCGGCTCGGCTGCTGCTCGGCGGCTCAGCTGATGCTGGGCGGCTCGGCCGGTGCTGGGCCGCGTAGGTAGGGCGGCTGGGCCGCTGGTAGGGCAGCGGGTGGGCCGCAGGTAGGGCGGCGGGTGGGCCGCAGGTGAGGCGGCGGGTGGGCCGCAGGTAGGGCGGCGGTAGGGCCGCTGGTAGGGCGGCGGAGGGCCGCAGGTAGGGCGGCGGAAGGGCCGCAGGTAGGGTGGCGGTAGGGCCGAAGGTAGGGCGGCGGGCGGGCCGCAGGTAGGGCGGCGGGTGGGCCGCAGGTAGGGCGGCTAGGTCGGCCGCAGGTAGGGCGGCGGGTGGGCCGCAGGTAGGGCGGCGGAGGGCCGTAGATAGGGCGGCGTCCGGGCCGTAGGTAGGGCGGCTGTAGGGCCGCAGGTAGGGCGGCGGGTCGGCCGCACGATGGGGCGGCGGGGCCGCGAGGAAGGGCGGCGGGGCCGCTAGAAGGGGCGGCGGGGCCACTCGACAGGGCGGTTGGGCCGCAAGGAATGCGCGGCGGGGCTGCGCGATGGGATGGCGGGGCCGCGAGGAAGGGGAGGTGGGGCCACGCGATGAGGCGGCGGGGCCGTGAGGCAGGGCGGCGCGACTGGCCGCTGTAAGGGCGGCGCGTCACGCCGCTAGGGCGGCTCAACGCGACAGCAGGGGTGGGCGGCGCGACGGGCCGCTAGGGGCGACACAGCGGGTCGCTAAAAAAAAATAAGGAAAGGAGAGAGCGCGACTCGAGGCGCGCTCCGGTGGGCCCAAGGATTAGTCCCTAGGAGGGGACCTGCTCTGATTCCATGTGTAAGTAAAGAACACGAATGAATGAACTATGAAAAATGAGTGAGTACAAGTACCAACCCTAATTGGGTTGTACCCCCTATGGGATACCCCACTATAGCCTACAGAAAACCATAAGTTATAATGTTCTGACAGGAATGGCATGAGGGCATGAGATAATATATATTTCATGCGTATAATAGTGTGTGAATGCTGAGTCGTTATGTGGAGTGTGTGTGTGTCGAGTCAATAGCGAGTTATCGCTAGTGACGTGTTACGCGATCATTTGTGTGTCCCGCGCGGTTTCTATTTTGTCGTGTGCGGTATTTATTTTGTCCAATGTCAAACGTTCGGCGTGTCGCAGGTGTGTGCAGCAGACCATCAAGAACTCAAGGATGAGTTTGTGATGAACAACCCAAGTCTTGGTTGTAAGCTTCAAGTGATTTCGAAGCTCGCCAAAAGGGTACACCTCAAGATATCAAGATTCGTTACATAACAATATTTAGTGTAACAATTCAGTTGGTGTAGACCCTAGTGAAGGGTACTTTCGAGACCCTTCGTGGTAGGGGACCGTGTGGGACTGTTCCGCATCACTATACCTCGGCTCTTGGGGTTTGTATGAGCTGGGAGTCATTCCAAGCTCGTAAATCTTGCTAACTCTTCCTATCTTGTGTTCTAAGACTCGGCCGTGGAACTGGCGGTTACAGCAGCAACGACAAGAGCTACGGACGCGGTCGCAGCCAATTTGGTGGCGAGTGCCACTATTGCCACAAGAGCGGACACATGTGGCGCGACTGCTACAAACTCCCTGTTGGATGGACCCTTGTTCAAGGCCAAGAGGGTAGAGGAGCAGGAGAAGGGAGAGGAAGAGGCCATGGAGGCCGTGGCGGTCGCGGTGATGGAGCTGCAAATTTGAAGAACGACGATAACGAGAAGGACTCGACGAACGATCGGTTCCCGGGCCCATTCTACTTCGGGTCGATGCAAGTACCAACTGGTCGAGAGAAGGATGAAGGCTTTGAGGAGCCAGCAGCTTTGGGGAAGGTGACCCTACACCCCCTGGACTATTGGGTGATCGATAGTGGCGCTACCTATAGCATGACACCTCGCCCGGACTTGCTCACCAAACTCAAACCGTCACCGGTTTCAGGGCAGCGAGCGGAGGTGAAAGGCATGGGCAAGGCCATTTTAAAGGGTGCTGATAGGAAGATGGTGGGCCTCAAGAACGTGCTTTGGGTGCCCAGCCTTGCTGCCAACCTGATTTCCGTGCGGCGGTTCGCAAAGGCCGGCATGGACACGAACTCGAAGGGAGCCAAGACCGACACCGCAAGGCTCGGCGATCGGAGTCTTTGGGACCTTCATGAGGACAGAGATGTCTACAACGAGATGTGGTAGATCCCAGTGGTCCCCATGCCTAAGGAGAGGCAAGTGGCAGCAAGCGTCAGCACCAAAGGTGGAACGGTTGGTAGCGCTAAGGAGAATGAGCTGAAGACGAGCAAACCTGGAGGGACCAGCAAGTTCAGTGAACCTACAGAGAGTGGTGAAGCAGCCAAGGAGCAGAAAAAGGGTGAGGAGAACCCTGAGGCAGCAGCGGAGGAGGACTATGGAGAGAGTATGTGGGGCGCTATTGCGAGCGCGGCATTCTCCAATCCAACTTCGGCTACGGGGGAGCGTGATTGGTTCACCTTGCATCGGCGCATGGGGCATAAGGCCCTGCCCATCTTGCAGCAGCTAGTGAAGAATGAGATGGATGCTGGCATGTCTGAAGGGGGAGCCCGATGAGGTACTTGGCCGCCCGACGTGCATGCATGCCAATTTCACCCTTTTCCCGTTCTTTAGTTCGGAGGCGACGGCTAAGGCACTGCTTGATGAGGTGGTAATGGACGTGGTGGGCCCCTTGAAGCTTGGAGCTGCTGGATCTGAATATTTCCTCACCATAGTGGGCGTTTACACCCGCATGACCTGTGTGTATGTGCTAGCCAAGAAGAGCGACGTGGCTGAAACGTTGAAGACGGATTGGTTCCCGATGGTGGAGCGGCAACAAGACCGTCTAGTCAAGTCAATCCGCACCGATCGAGGGGGAGAGTTCCTGAGCAAGGAGTTTGGGTTGTGGCTGAAGGAGAATGGTATTCGGCACTCCCTCACCATGCCGTACTCCCCAGCAATAAACGGCATCGATGAGCGAGCGAACCGCACAATCACGGAGGCGGCACGCGGGTTGCTCATTGAAGCCGGGTTACCCGACAATTTCTGGCCTGATGCGGTGCGGAGCGTGTGTGTGGCCACGAACAGAGTTTTGACTCATGTGGGAGCAGACAAATGGGTGCCCTACGTGAAGTGACTAGGAAGGAAGCTAAAGGTGGATATGCTTCGGGTGTTCGGGTGCATGTGCATGGCGATCGTGCCTAAGCATCTTCCGCACAACAAGCTTGGTGCCAAGGCGGTGTGGGCCGTGCACTTGGGCATGGCTCAAAACAGCAAGGGATGGCTTCTCTGGGACCCATTCACCAAGAAGTTCATGGTGAGCAGGGATTGCAAGTTCATGGAGAACTTCATGTACAAGGATTGGAAGGCGGAGAATGAGGCGAAGATAGGCGTGCGGTTTGGGGAGGTGAAGAGTTCCGGCTTGGAGCATGTGGAGCTGCCTTTGGAGCTGAGCAGCGGCAGAAGAAGACTCCCCGCCTCTGTCCGAGTGCAGACGCAGAATAGGAAAGTCCGAGCTGGAACTATCTCTGAGCTGAAGACGGGCCGCGCGGATCCAATCGATCAACAACTCAGTGACGTCACCCTTGCTGCGCAAGGGAAAGACTGTGGTGTAACGCGAGTAGTCGTCAACCGCCAGCAGGAAGTATCGCTCGCGCCCTTGCCCAGTGACGCGGGCAAGGCCCCACACGTCCATGTGGAGAGTCTGCAGCGGAGCCTCTGTCAGAGGAAACTCGGAGGAGTGAGGGGCGGCGCGCTGTCGCCCCTCGACGCAGGGGACGCAGGTAGGGCCAGGCCCTGGAGGTAGGGGAAGGAGAGATCGAGGGAGAGTAGAGACAAGGACATGGGAGGCCATGCCTCGAAGACAAGGCAAGGAGGGGTGACCAAGGCGGTGGTGCCAGAGGAGAGTCTGGTGGGATAGCAGACGACACGAGCAGGGAGCAGACTTAGGACCAGACCTGGACGCTGCTGCAAACACCTGACTCGAGGCTGCTACCTGAGCAGACTCAAAAACGGGAGGAGACTCAGTAGTAAGGGTGTACAGGCCCGACCCTGGTTGACGGGTGAACGTGGCCAAGTGTCAGCTTGTCTGAGCACAAGTGCAGTGGGTCACTCGCTGACTTGCAGGAGTGAACTGGTCAACCCCCCTATCTTGTAGGTCCGCTTCACTCACCAAGTTCGTAGAGAACGAGGGGAGGTAGAGACCTGACATGGTGCCAGAGGGGGCTGCCGGGCACGGTAAGACAGTGGAGAAGCTAGCAAGGACAGGACCCCCAGAGCGGTCTGCTAGGGAGACCGCAACCGGCCGACTGAGCGGCGTAAGAGCGGTGCGGTATCGAAAGAAGGAGAAGGATGCACCCGGGTCAAGGGTGAAGGTGTGTAAGGCCTGAGCCGACGTAGTACCTGAGAGCGCAGACTCACCAGCACCTGGGGCAGTCGACGCACTAGCACCTGGGGCAGCTGACGCACTAGCACCTAGAGCAGCAGCCTTACCAGCACCTAGAGCAGTAACCTCAATGCCCGGGTCAGGCGGTACACATTGGTAAGAGTCACCCACAACACTATCATCAATAGCATACATGGCAGCAAGAATAGCATCATAGTCAAGATCGAAGACAGCAACCCCCGCCCTAGACAGATCTCCCCAGCGAGGGATCTCTGTTGCCTCAGGGAACTGGTAACGCCACGCGTCTGTTAGGCGACCAAAGCAGCGCTGGGTGGAGTGCGGGCCTCTGCACTGCTCACCAGCTCGGTCGCCGGTACGGAGGACGTAAGTGCAGGGACCAAAACCCCCACTACGCTGACGCGTAGTGTACCACTCACGAAGCTGCTGAGGAGACAGGGTCACACCACTCCGCTGCTGCTGGCGCGGACCACCACCTGAGCCACTCCTCTGCGCAGAGTCGCGACCCTCTCCACCACCGCCGCCGCCACCCCCGCCTCCGCCGCCTCCTCCACCTCCGCCTCCTCCACCTCCGCCTCCTCCCACCTCCGCCGCCTCTGCTCCCTCCGCCACCACCACCGCCTCCGCCGCCTCCGCTGCTGCCGCCGCCGCCGCCACCCTCGGCACCACTCCCACTACCACCCGCACTCCCTCCACTTCCTCCACCACCACCTCCACCGCCCCCTCCAGCCCCTCCTTGCTCCCCTTGCCCTTGCCGGTGCAGCGTTTCCCACTCGGGGCTGACGCAGCGCCGACCGACTCGAAGCCAACAAGGTCGGCCGCAGCAGCACAGGCAACAAAGGGCAAGAGGGGGGAGGGATAACACCCCTCAAAGACGGGGGTGCGAGGGCCACCACGAGAGGCTCCTACAGCGACTATGCTCTTCTTAATCGCTAGGAGGGTCTTCTCAAGGAGGTCAACGGTGAGAGTGGTGGGGCAAACTGAGAGGAAGTGGTCCCTGACTATGCGGAGAGAGTCAGGGAGCCGGGTGACTATGTAGTAGAGGGTGATGTACATAAGGGGGGTGGTCTTGGCGCAGAACTCAGCAGGAAGCGTAGCGCGGTAGCGAGTGTCACTAGTGCGGAGGTGCGTAATGAGGTCAGCGACTGTGGGAAAGGCAGCAAGGTCAGGGAAGAGGTACGGTAGCATGAGGTGGCTCAGTGCAGCAATGGCAGGGGAAGAGTAGCATGCAACTACAACGTCGTACAAGGTCTGAGCACTCTTGTACCGGCTAAAGTGTGCACGCTCAGTGGTCGGTAAGTGGCGGCGCACAACAAGGCAAGCAGCAGCATCGCGTGTGGCCCACTGTGAGCGAACAGTGGCATCAGCATCAGGAGCAGGGGCAGGGGAGGCACTAGAAGTGAGGTCAAACAGGGAGAGGCCGTCCGCCCTATCGCACTGTAGGAAAAGTTGCACGTTATCTACCCAGACGTCAAAGTCAATGGCCCGACCCTCAGCGTCAAAAGTGAGAACACTGGGGGTAGCCATGACAGTAGTAGACAGGCAGTGAGTACAGTGGGGCACGGCAGTGCAGTGGCAGAGACACTGGGGCAAGTGGGGCGGCCGGGCGGCTCGGCGGCTCGGTTGCTGGGCGGCTCGGCGATCAGGCGGCGTGGCTGCTCAGCGGCTTGGCTCCTGGGCGGCTAGGCGGTCGGGTGGCTCGGCTGCAGGGCGGCTCGGCTGCTGGGCGGCTCGGCGGTCGGGCGGCTCGGTTGTTCGGCGACTCGGCTGCTTGGTGGCTTGGCTGTCGGGCGGCTCGCTTGCTCGGCAGCTCGGCTGCTCGGTGACTGGGCCGCTCGGCGGCTCGGGCGCCGAGCGGCTGAGCGGCGACGGGGCTGTAGAAGGGCGGCGACGTGGCCGCTGAAAGGGCGGCAACGGGCCGCTGAAAGGGCGGCGACGGGCCGCTGGAAGGGCGGGCGGCGACAGGGCCGCTGAAAGGGCGGCAACGGGGCCGCGGAAGGTTGGCGTCGGGGCCACGGAAGGGTGGGCAACGGGGACGCTGTAAGGGTGGGCGGCGAGGTTGTGGAAGAGCGGCAACGAGGCCGTGGAAGGGCGGCGATAGGGCCGCTGAAAGGGCGGCAACGAGGCCGCTGGAGCGCGGCGACGGGGCCGCAGAAGGGCGGTATCGGGGCCGCGGAAGGACGGGCGACGGGGCCGCTGTAAGGGCGGGTGGCGAGGCCGTGGAAGGGCGGTGACAGGGCCGTGGAAGGGCGGCGACGGGGCCGCTGAAAGGGCGGCGACGGGGCCGCTGAAAGGGCGGCGACTGGGTCGCAGGAAGGGGCGGCGACGGGGCCGCGTAAAGGGCGGCGCGACGGAGCCGTAAGGGCGGCGCGACGGGGCCGCAAGGGCGGCGCGACGGGACTGAAAGGGCGGCACGACGGGGTCGTTAGGGGCCGTAAAAGGGGCCGCTAGAGGCCGCTAGAGGGGGAACGACATGGGGTGCGACTCGGGCAGGGGCCAAGCGTGCTGCGGGCAGGAAAAAAAAAGTCGGTGGGCCCTAGGAACAGTTCCGACGAGGGAACCAGCTCTATACCATGTGAAGATGAGAACGAGAGAATGATTGAACTATGAAAGAGTTGGGTACAAGTACTAACCCTGATTGGGTTTTACCCCTTATGGGCTACCCCATTACAGCCTACACAAATGTATAAGCTATAATGTTCTGACAGTCTAGGCATAATTGGGAGCTATAATGCTCTAGATTTCCAGACCCATTTTTGGTTCTTCATATGTTTTTTCAGACAACTGGTTATATGTCGTATGAGTTTCCAGATAGCGAGGATAAATCCGTCTGATATGCGAGGGAAAAGCCCTAAGGCCGGACAATCCTTGTACATGAAACTGTCAGATTACTATAGCTGATGCATGTTTGTAGGCTATAGTGGGGTAGCACATATGGGGTACAGCTTTCTAGGGTTGCATTTGTACCCAACTCTGACTTAGTCAATTCATTCCTGGTTACCTAACTTCACATGGTATAGAGCAGGTCCCTCTTAAGGACCGATTTTTAGGGCCCACCCACGCATTTCTCTCTGCCCGGAGCGCGCCCTACTCTCCCCGAGGCGCGCTCCCCTTAGTGCATTTCGCGCTGCCTTTGCGGGCCCCCGCGAGTCGCGCGCGCAAAATTTTTTTTTTTAGCGCGCGCGGCTCGGGCCCGCGTCGCGCGGGCTTTACGACCGCGCCGCGCCGCCCTCTCGGCCCGGCTGCGCCCCGCCGCCCTCGAACCGGCCGCACGGCCGCTTCGTCGCGGCCGCGGGCCCCGTTATTTGACGGCCCCGCCGCCCTTTTTGACGGCCCCGCCGTCCCCTTTTCTGACGGCCCGCCGCTGCTTCCTGCCGGCCCCGCCGTTACCTGTCCCGGCCCCGCCGCTGCACCTCTGACGGCCCCGCCGCTGCACCTTGACGGCCCCGCCGTCCCCTGTCCCGGCCCCGCCGCTGCACCCTGACGGCCCCGCCCGTCCCTGTCCCGGCCCCGCCGCTGCACCTCTGACGGCCCCGCCGCTGCACCTTGACGGCCCAGCCGTCCCCTGCCCCGGCCCCGCCCGTCCCGGTCCCGGCCCCGCCGCTGCACCCTGACGGCCTCGCCCGTCCCTGTCCCGGCCCCGCCGCTGCACCTCTGACGGCCCCGCCGCTGCACCTTGACGGCCCCGCCGTCCCCTGTCCCGGCCCCGCCGCTGCACCCTGACGGCCCCGCCCGTCCCTGTCCCGGCCCCGCCGCTGCACCTCTGACGGCCCCGCCGCTGCACCTTGACGGCCCAGCCGTCCCCTGCCCCGGCCCCGCCCGTCCCGGTCCCGGCCCCGCCGCTGCACCCTGACGGCCTCGCCCGTCCCTGTCCCGGCCCCGCCGCTGCACCTCTGACGGCCCCGCCGCTGCACCTTGCCGGCCCCGCCGTCCCCTGTCCCGGCCCCGCCGCTGCACCCTGACGGCCCCGCCCGTCCCTGTCCCGGCCCCGCCGCTGCACCTCTAACGGCCCCGCCACTGCACCTACCGGCCCCCCACCACCACCCTTTTCCCGTCGCCTGTCGAGGCGACCTGAGAGGCCAGCAGGGGGGTGGCAGGTGTGTGGCCTCCCCTGCTTCTCCTCCTCCTTCATCTCCCACTGCAACAGCCGAGCCGCTCACCTGCAGCAGCCGAGCCGCCCCACCGCCGAGCCGCCCTGCACCCGAGCCACCCAGCAGCCGAGCCGCCCTGCCGCCGAGCCGCCGGGTCGCTGAGCTGCTGAGCTGCAGTTGCTGCCGAGCCGCCCTGCCGCCGAGCCGCCGAGTCGCCGAGCTGCTGAGCTGCAGTTGCTGCTGAGCCGCCTTGCCGCCGAGCCGCCCGAGTCGCCCGAGCCGCCGAGCCGCCGAGCTGCCGAGCCGCTAAGTCGCCGAGCCTACTCTTCCCACCACTGGTGAGCTCTTGCCCTGCTAGCACGCTGCGCGTCGCCTGCTTGCCTGCCTGCCTGCCTGTTGGCTTGCCTGGCTGCCTGCCTTCCTGCTGCTAGTCCTGCTCCTGCTTCTACTTGCGGAGCGAGATGCAGCCCCAGCGACGCCTGCGTGAGTCCCTCACGCCCCAGCAGCTGCGTAAGTGGTACGCTGGTTGGGGGTGTAGGGGTGGCGGCGCTACTCCTACTACCACTCCTGCTGCTTCTACTCGTGGTGGCGGCCAGATGCAGCTCCCGCGACCCTCTCGCGTGTCTCTCACGCCTCGCCAGCTTCGTGAGTGGTACGCTCAGAGTGGAGGGTCTCTCAGTGCTGTTCGCTGCTCTTACGTGATTCGCACTGGTACTCGGACTGGTCAGCCTTGTGGGACACCTAGTCATACACAGTCCCGCTGCTTCGCCCGTCTGAGCGACGCCTGGCGTACCGTGTTTGGCGACGAGGCTGAGCTTCCCGACTGGGTGGAGTTGCTTAGGCAGAGGGTAGATATATATGCTCTTGACTATGATGCTATTCTCACTGCCATGTATGCATTGCCTACTAGTGCTGACCGTGCCGGTCCCCTGTGCGTCCCGCCTGACCCAGGTATAGGACCTGCTGCTCTAGCTACTGGTGAGGCTGCTGCTCTGGGTGCTAGTGCGTCTCCTGCTCCAGGTACACGTGCGGCTGCTGCTCTAGGTGCTAGTGAGTTTGCTTCCTCAGGTGCGGGTGAGGCTGCGCTCTCAGGTACCGCGTTGGCTTCGGCCTCCCTCACCTTTCCACTTGACTCTGGGGCTTCTCGTTCCTTCTTTCGGGACCGCACCACACTCACGCCGCTTGGTCGGCCGGTTGCAGTCTCCCTGGCTGACCCCTCTGGGGGTCCTGTCCTCGCTCACTTTTCCACTGTCCTCCCGTGTCCGGCTGCCCCCTCGGGCACCCTGTCTGGCCTGTACCTCCCCTCGTTCTCGACGAACTTGGTGAGTGGTGCAGACCTACAGGATGCAGGGGTTCACCAGTTCACTCCTGCGAGTCAGCGGGTGACCCACTGCACGGACGCACGCACAGGCCGGCACCTGGCCACGTTCTCGCGTCGGCCGGGGTCGAGCCTCTACACCCTGACCACTGAGTCTCCTCCTGTCCCCGCGTTCGGTCAGGTAGCAGTGTCGGGTCAGGTGTTTGCTGCTGCGTCCAGGTCTGGTCCTGAGTCTGCCCCCTGTTCGTGTCGCCTCCTGTCTCACGAGACTCTCCTGTGGCACCACCGTCTTGGCCACCCCTCCTTGCCCCGTCTTCGGGGCATGGCTTCCCGTGTCCTTGTCTCTGGTCTTCCCCAGTCTCTCCCTCCCCTTCCTTCGGGACCAGGACCTTCCTGTGTCCCCTGTGTCGAGGGGCGCCTCAGGGCTGCTCCTCACTCCTCCCAGTTTCCCCCGACAGAGGCTCCTCTGCAGACGCTTCACATGGACGTGTGGGGCCCGGCCCCCGTCCGTGGGCAGGGTCACGAGCGCTACTTCCTGTTGGTGGTTGACGACTACTCGCGTTACTCCTCAGTCTTCCCCTTGCGCAGCAAGGGTGCTGTCACTGAGGTGCTGATCGACTGGATCGGCGAGGCTCGTCTCCAGCTCAGGAGGAGCTTCGGCTCGGACTTTCCTGTTCTGCGTCTGCACTCTGACCGAGGTGGGGAGTTCTCCTCTCGCCTTCTGCGAGACTACTGTCGTGCACAGGGGATCCGCCAGACCTTTACGCTTCCGGACTCTCCACAGCAAAATGGGATTGCTGAGCGCCGCATTGGCATGGTCATGGATGTCGCTCGTACGTCCATGATGCATGCGGCTGCCCCCCATTTTCTGTGGCCGTTTGCGGTTCGGTACGCGGCGCATCAGCTCAACCTTCACCCCAGGGTCTCTCGGCCCGCGATGTCCCCAGTGTTACTGTGGACGGGGAAGGTCGGCGATGCGTCTGCGTTCCGTGTCTGGGGATCTCGGGCGTTTGTCCGCGACTTGTCTGCGGACAAGCTGTCCCCCCGTGCTGCTCCCTGTGTCTTCCTTGGCTTCCCCCCTGACGCTCCAGGGTGGCAGTTCTACCACCCCTCCTCTC